GAGTGAAGCAATGATATAGAAAAGTTGTATAAAGGGTGTAGAAAGATAGTGGGAACGGGGTAAAAGGGGTTTATAAAGGGTGTAGAAATGTTATAGGAATGGTGTAAGAATGATGTAGGAAGGTTGTTAGAAGGTTGTAAGAAGAGTGTGGGAAGAGTGTAGGAAAGGTGTAGAAATGAGGGTAGAAGTGGTGTATAAAGGGTATAAAGCCTCGAAGCTTGGGCGACTTCTCTGAGGCTTGAGCGCAGAAGAGAGTTGCTCACCGCTCGGGCGCCCTTTTTGGGACGCTTGAATGCCAGAAGCACGAAGCTTAGGCGTCCTGTCTGAGGCTTGAGCGTGGAAGACTACCGCTCACCGTCCGAGCGCCCTAAGTGCGACGCTTGAGCGCCGGCGACACGGGCTTGGGCTTGTTTTGTTCTGTCTTCGCTCTATTTAAAGGACTCAGATGTCCTAGGTTTTGTATCTTTGGCTAGAGCAGCACAACACCACACTCTTCCATTCTCTGAAGGAGGATTTGGAGGCGGAAGCTTACATCCTCTACTTTTAGGGTTTTGCTATCTCATGCTTTTCCATTATTCATCTAGTCTCACCATGTCTATGGTGAACTAAACTCTATTTGTTGTTGGAGGATGATGTAACTTTGTGAACTCTCATGTATTTGAATTGATTCTTAATAATACATGTTTTTTCATTAATTGTTAGAGTAATTCATCTGTGCTTATTACATGCTTTGTTTAACTCATTCATAGCATGATTGCATGAGTTGCATGAGTGCTGGAAGGTTCCTTACAATTCAGGTTCTTGTTGAATTCTCTCGAGAGTATTATTGCTCAAGAATGAGGGTATGAGTCTTGGTCGTCTTAAAGCTATTGATCTTCACATTTAATTACTAGGAATGCTAGGAATTGCATGAACTGGTGATTAAGGACATGCTTCTTCGCCTAGGGATCTGGTTTAAGTGATTTAGTGAGTGACGTTAACATTAATGCATAAAGAAGAATTCTTACATACATGAGAGGGAACTTGGTGAAATCTAATCCCCAATAACATATTCATCCCATATTACAAACAACATTCGTTCATCATTGTGCTACTCTGCTATTGATCAAACTGCATTCATATTTAATTTTTTGTCTTTGCATCTGAAACCAATGATCTTTATTTCTTTAAGTCTTAATTAATCGAGTTATCACACAATTGTCTAGTGCCGAGAGTCCTCTAGGATACGATACCTGGTCTTACCATTTTATATTCACATGAATAGAACACTAACCCTTACTGCAATCCCTCAACGCAACAAAGCAGCGGCAACACCCTCCCTACTCCACAGCAGCCGCAATAAATGCCCCAATCACCATCCACCAACACCCTTGCAGGAGAATAACTCAACAAAAGCTCCAATCGTACCGAAAATCAATCAACGCGTCGTCTCAATCATCAACCCGTCCTCACACCGTCAATGATGTGCGCTGTACCGCCTCACTACCACGACTGAATGAAGGACGACAATGCGGAAAGAAACACAAACACACTTACACTTGAGAACACCCACGACAGTGAGACAATGCGCTTGAGGAAACGATTGGCAAGGGAGAGAGAAATAACAAATTTGGGTTTTAATGTATCCAGATACTTACCGACAGCCTAGGACCGTTGGTATTTAAAATCAGCACTGCATTACCCACGGCCTAAGGACTGTCGATAAAGGGCTGCCGGTAATTTCCCCTTTTTTTGTAGTGGAAGGGTATAAAATAGTGTATGAAAAGGTGTAAGAAGAGTGTAGTAAGTATAAAGGAAATGTCTACAAAGGGTGTAGAAAGAATGTAGGAAGGGGGTAAAAGGGGTGTATAAAGGGTGTAGGAACGATATAGAAAGGGAGTAAGAAAGATATTAGAAAGTTACAGGAAGGAAGTAGGAATGATGTAAGAAGAGTGTAAAAGAGTTGTAAGAAGGATGTAAGAAGTGTATAGAATAGGTGTAATAAGAGTGTAGCAAGGATAAAGGAAAGTTGTACAAAGGGTGTAGAAAGATAGAATGAAGGGGTAAAAAGGGTGTATAAAGAGTGTACAAAGAATGTAGAATGGGTGTAGGAATTATGTAAAAATGTTATAGCAAGGGTGTAAAATGATGTAGGAAAGATGTTAGAAGGTTGTAAGAAGAATGTGGGAAGAGTGTATCAAAGGTCTATTAGACTCTAGAAAGAGTGTAGAAAGGATGTAGAAAGGGTATAAGAAAGTTGTAGGAATGGTGTAAGAAGAATGTAAGAAATTTGTTAGAAGGATGTAAAAAGGGTATAGAATAGGTGTAAGAAGGATGTAATAAGAGTGTAAAAGGGGTGTATAAATGGTGTAGAAAGGGCGTAAAAAGGGTGTAGGAAGGATGTAAAAATGTTGTAGGAAGGGTGTAAGAAGATTGTAAGAAGATTATTGGAAGATTGTAAGAAGAATGTAGGAATAATGTAGGAAGGGCATATTAGATTGTAGAAAGGGTGTAGAAAGAGTGTAAAAAAGATATAGAAAGGGTGAGGAAGGGTGTACAAAGGGTGAGGAAGGGTTTAGAAAAGATATAGGTAAGTTATAGGAAGGGAGTAGGAATGGTGTAAAGAGAGTGTAAGAAGGTTGTAAGAACGATATAACAAGTCTATAGAATAGTGTATGAAAGGTGTAAGAAGAATTTAGAAAGTGTAGAGAAAAAGTGTAGAAAGGGTGTAGAAAGAATGTAGGAAGAGGGTAAAAGGGGTGTGTATAATGGGTGAAGGAAGGGTTTAGAAAGAGTGTAGGAAGGATGTAAAAATGTTGTAGGAAGGGTGTAAGATGTGTGTAGGAAGGTTGTTGGAAGGTTTAAGAGAGATGTGGGAAGAGTTTAGAAAGGGTGTATTAGGTTGTAGAAAGGGTGTAGAGAGGGTAGAAAGGGTTTAGAGAGGGTGTAAGAAACGTATAGAACGAGTGTAGGAAAGATATAGCAAAGTGTTAGAATTCGGGTTGGAATGGTGTAAAAATAGTGCAAGAAGGTTGTAACTAAGATGTAAGAGAATAAGTTTAGAAAGGGTGTAAGAAGAGTGTAACAAGGGTAAAGGAAAGGTGTACAATGGATGTAGAAAGAGTCTAAAAGGGAGTAAAAGGTGTGTATAAAGGGTGTAGGAAGGATTGTAAAAATGTGTTAGAAATGGTGTAAGAAGTGTGTAAGAAGGTTGTTGAAAGGTTGTAAGAAGGATGTGGGAAGAGTGTAGGAAGGGTGTATTAGGTTGTAGAAAGGGTGTAGAAAAAGTGTATAGAAGATTAAGAAAATTGTAGGAAGGGAGTACGAATGGTGTAAAAGTGTGAGAAGGTTGTAAGAAGGATATAAAATAGTTGTAGGAAGGTTGTAAGAAGAGTGTGGTAAGGATAGAGGAAAGATGGACGAAGGGTGAAGAAAAAGTGTAGAAAGAGTGTAAAAGGGGTGTAAAAGGGGTGTAGAAAGAGTGTAGAAAAAGTGTAGAAAAGATATAGAAAGGTTGTAGGAAGGGAGGAGGAATGGTGTAAGAATAGTGTAAGAAAGTTGTAAGAAGGGTATAGAATAAGTGTAAGATGGATGTAAGAAGAGTGTTAGAAGAGTGTGGTAAGGGTAGAGGAAAGGTGTACAAATGGTGTAGGAAATGAGTAAAAAGTTCTTCTTACATAATTTTTACTCCCTTCCTACACCCATTTGTAAACCACTTTTATCCATTTTTACACTCTTTCTACACCCTTTGTACATTTTTCCTCTTCCCTTGCTACACTCTCGTACATCCTTCGTACAATCTTGTTACACTCTTCTTACACAATTCTTACACCCTTCCTACAACTTTCTTATATCTTTCCTACACCCTTCATACATTTTTTCTATACTATTTCTATATTATTTCTACACTCTTTCTACAACCTAATACACCATTCCTACGCTCTTCCCACATCATTCTTACAACCTTCTTACATACTTCTTACACAGTTTGTCCCCAAGTTTCTCCCATGTCCCACAATTTCAATGTTTTTTCATGACTTTTGGTAGTGAATTTTTATGCATCTTTTTCTTTTTATTTTGGAGGTTTGTGATGTTCCCCACTGCTAATCAAGAACATTACTCGAAATGTGAATATACTTTTTACGATTTTAGAAGAGTCATGCATGTGCTAACTTCCAAGAAGAGATAGTGAACTCTAACTATCCATGTTATCACCTCAATTGTTCTTTTCCCTTCCACGCTTTTTCAGTATCCGCGTAAATGGCTTTTCATATTCAGCTTTCCCCCAGCAAGTTATTACTTTTTTATGCATTTTATTACTTTTGATTTAGATTATAACAATAACTCTTTTCACATGTATTTATATTTTAAATAATCTAAATTAAAAGGTTTAAAATTAACTGTTGATTAAATTCTGTTTTAATGTAGGGTGAGATTTGATGGAAATGAACTTTTGTATGAAGGTTCCAGAAAGAAATTGGTAACAGTTAGCATTGCTGAAACTGGTTATATGAATTTATGAGACTTTGAGACTTGCTTCCCAAGTTTACCATTTCATCAAATCTTTTTAATCAATTCTCTTTGTTGCCCCCACCATGTCCTTAAGGTGTTTGTATAGTGTTTGTTTCTTATGCTCCCCACTAGTTTTTGTCCCTTTTAAAAATTGGTAATTCATTCTGTCTATGTATTGCATCTTCCAAGCATCCCTTTCTATAATCAAGAATAAACCATCCTTGCTTCAAAAAACAAAGATCAACTGAGCAATATAAAAATAAAGTGGTTGTCTACCCAATCCTCTGTTCAACTGATATGGGAAGATAACTGCATTATTCATGTATTCCAAAAACTAATGAAATATACTATTAAATACTAAAATCACAGATAATACATTGATTCAACAACACTTGGCATCCTAGAGACAAAAGTTCACTACAAAAAGTACTCTGTCCACAAACTACATATAACCACACACTTCCTAGTTACACAATCTGCTATCTTAAATATACCAGTTTCTAATACTTTCTAATAGATTTTCTATTATATATTCTTCTAAACTTTAATGCATTATTGTCATTTTGCAATTTGTAATAAAGTGGCTATTACAGAGAAAGTTACTTTTAATAACATATACTCCTAACCACTAATCCATTAATAGTACGAAGTTCTTAGTTCGCATCATATGAAATTGTTTGGTCTTAGATGATGCTGATCTTCCCATGACCTTTAAGTGCAAGCAAAACTAGATATTTCATTCCAATTGATCTCCACAGAATTATTTGTTGTAGAGTCACATGAGGATGTCTCCAATCCCCATAAATCATCTTGATATATACTTTCTTGTTTCTCTTGACTTGCTTCTTGGCTGTAAAATAGAAGATGTGTGTCACCGTGTTCAACATCATATGATGTTTTAAGCCTTTTCGATGAACCAGATTCGTCTGAATTAAGATATTCAGTATACATAGTTGAAATATCCTCAATACTAGCGTCCTGCAATGGTTTTAAAAGAAAATAAACAAATGATTCACTTCTAAAAGTGCTAAAAAAAATATAACAATTTAACAAACTCAAGAAAAAGTTTAGTTCTCGAGTCCTATGATCTATGCAGCGGAAGAGATTCAACGAAAGGCAAAAACGGGTATAGAAATAGATTGCTTTTCTTAAGTCTCAATAATAACCCATCAATCGATCATGAATCACAACAAAACATCAAAGCCAACTCAAACCACGCATTTTCTTGAGCATCTTTCAAGAATCTAAACGAGAAAATCCTTATACGTTGTGAAAAATATGACAAAATTCAAATCACCATAAAGCACACTACAACTTTTAACTTACTAAATCAGCATGAAAATTCAGAAACAAAAGGAGATACACTCATCAATATTATTTGGACTTTACAGAATAATTATTTACAAGTTTAGGGACGACTTCTGCATCTATATAAGAGCTTTCGCAATATGCCCTTTTCAATGACTTTGATTGAGGGACTAAACTTTCATTAGCAAATAATGAATTCTGGAGTTCAAGTAGAATCCGTGCAGTTTCAGAAGGAATTTGTTTAGTATCTAATGGGGTCTGCATACTTCCAAAAGGAGCGGCTATAGTTTCACAAGGAATCTATATAGTTTCACTAGGAACCTGTATAGTTTCACTAGGAACCTGCATAGTTTCAGATGGAGCTTCTATACTTTCACATGGAATTTGCATAGTTTCACAAAGAATATGCATAGTTTCACAAGAAACTTGCATAGTTTCATAAGGAGTCTGCATAAATTCATGGGGAATCTGCAAACTTTCAAAAGAAATTTGTGTGGTATCACAATAGTTTGCATAGTTTCACAGGGAATCTGCATAGTTTCACAAGGAATCTGCCTAATGTTATTTTCATTTCTAAAATAGGCATCGTCATCTTTCTCAAATTCAATTAGTGACTGTTCGATTGGGGAGATGCATTTTTCCGCCTGATGTTTTGCCTGACAGATTGTTTCCATTCCGGTAAAAGTACCTCCCTGAAAAAGAAAAAAAGTCATATATATATATATATATATATAGATAGATAGATAATTACAAGAAGTATCAATTCTCGGCATGTTTGCATACATATGTTCATGAAAGATGCTTCAGCTTACAGATGGAACTCCTTCTGCTATATCCTGATGTTCATTGTCAGAAACCACACTTCTACTGGATTCCTCTTCATCAGAGATCAGTGCAGCAGTTCCTCCTTCGGTCGTTTTCCCATGTTTCTTTTTCAAGCGGCATAACACAAAAGCATTCTGAAAAAATTGGAGTATGGTAAGCATTCATTTGGCACAATTCACAAAAGTAAAAGGCCAAGACAAATGAGGCAAACGTATGCAGAAGAAATTGACAGTCTTCGATGAGAATTAATGATGAATTTTGAAAAGATCAATTAAACACATTCTATAAGTCACATGAGAGGTTCTCCTTAAGCTTTGTCGAGAAACTAATTACTACAAACAGTTAAGATTAAGCACATAAGTCAAATGAGATATTTTAAAATTTACAAACTTTTTTCCTAGTCAAAGCTAGGCTTCAAATACTCATCTGGGTTCGACTAGTTTACACTCCTACACACTGTAGTTTAGGACAGAGATTATTTCCGAGCAGAGTTACAAGTTTCTTAAAAAATGAAATACAAACCTGGCTTTGGAGAAAGTTAAGAGCATGATATTCGTGAATAACCCAGTTGGAATTGACAGTTACACCTTTGGAAACATTACCACTTTGGAAAACAAGAGTCTTCTTTGTCCCAATGTCAGTTTTGGTGTCCCCTTTTCTAACATCACGGGGTTTTCCCGTTGGTTTCCAGAACCCACTCTTGGTTGTCCTTTTAAACCTTTTACTATTTGAGTACTTCAAATTAACAGGACTGAAGAAAAACCATTCTGAGGTTTTGAATGCTATTACTGATTTTGCTAACATCTCTACTTAAAACAATAAAAGTTAAAGCAAAGATCAGAGCAAGAAAAAGGACAGTGTTGATCTCATGAAGAAGCGTGGAGAGTTTGGCTTTCGATTATTACCTGGTATTTCCCAAGGTTCCACGTCGGAAAGATCTATGTCAGTCAAGACATGGACAAGGGGATCATCATCGAGCAACTTGTGTTTGAGGTAAAAGTCGACAAGTTCTTCATCTGTGGGACGAAAACCCATTCCTACAATCTCCATTGGTTTTTGTCAACACTTTACTTCACTGTGTTTGTGTTGTCTTATGAAACTGAATTTATAATGCCACGTTCACTGACTTAACTCCTTCGTTAAGAAGTTGTTGTTGGAAAATAATATTTCAATATTCGTGTTTGAGGCATACTTTCAAACTTTATAAAAAGTTCATAATATAAATCTATAAAATTAATTAACATATAATTTAAGTTAGATCACGCACTTATGTTAACTATTACTGAATAACTCTAATAATGCATCTAAGTGATCTTATTCGTAGGTTATTTTATAAGAAAATTGAGACTAAATATATGAAATGTTATCGTGATTCTAAATCCAAATACATAAATATATGAAATTTTTGTTTCTCAATGTGTGAAGTAACAGATACAATAAGAAATTCAGTAACTTGTATTGTATTAAAACCGCGTGAGAATGAGAATATTTTTTCTCACAACCCGCAGCACTTTCTACGAAATGAACAAAATTATATTTAACATATTTTATCATTGGTTAGGGATATAATCTGTTATGAGTCTCTATCAGAAGGATCAATGGCTTTAAACCTTGGTCCCCAAGTTTCTCCCATGTCCCACCATTTCAATGTTCTTTCAAGACTATTGGTAGTGAATTTCTATGCATCTTTTTCTTTTTATTTTGGAGGTTTGTTATGTTCCTCACTGCTAGTCAAGAACATGACTCCAAATGTGAATATACATTTTAAGAATTCAAAAGAGTCATGTGCTAACTTCAAAGAACTGATAGTGAACTCTAACTGTCCATGTTATCTCCTCAGTTATTCTTTTCCCTTCCACGCTTTTTCAGTATCCGCGTAAATGGCTTTTCATATTCAGCTTTTCCCCCAGCAAGTTATTACTTTTTTTATGCATTTTACTTTGCAAAATTTATCTTTATTACTTTTGATTTAGATTATAACAACTGCTTTTACATGTACTTATAGTTTAAATCATCTAAATTTTATAAGGTTTACACTCTTTAAAATTAACTATTGATTAAATTATGTTTTCAATGTAGGGTGAGATTTGTTGGAAATGAAGGTTCCTATGAAGGTTCCAGAAAGAAATTGGTAACAGTTAGCATTGCTGAAAGTGGTAATATGAATTTATGAAACTGAGACTTGCTTCGCAAGTTTACCATTTCATCCCTTCATTCATCGAATCTTTTTAATCAATTCTCTTTGTTTCCCCCACCATGTCCTTATGGTGTTTGTACAGTATTGGTTTCTTATGCTTAAGCATTCATGTTACAGATCAAAATCTTCTACCCTTGACAGAAAAAAAGTAGGCCAGGAATTGCTAATTTTGGTGACAGAAACACTGCTCAAAGACGACTCCATGTACTAATACTGGTCACATGTTTACATTGAGAATCAATTTCAGAACTCATGCTTAGTTCTAAAATAAAATTCTGGACTGAAATGAATTTGCAGATATATGCCAATAACCTTCCACAAATCAAAATCATTTTTTTTTTCAAAACCAATCCTACCTACCAAAACATCTTCAGTACTGACAACATAGGCTTACTCAGATACGTTTCAATATGAATGGACACTGGTTTTAAGAACCACCAACTAGATTTGTTACAAATAAGAAAGTTCATCTCAGTTCAAAATAAATAAATAAATAATTGTTTACCCTTAAGATGTCACCAAAATAGTCCATCAAAGTCACCTGGTTTGTCTTTATGGAGAACTAGACTGGAGCCACAAAAGGACACACTTGATAACGATTATATATTTTTGAAACACTAATTTGGTGATAAAGAATCTTTGAAACACTATAGTGCTATTGTGATCTTCGACAACAACTTTAGGAGTTTTTATCATATTTTAATTAGAAAGATATTAAGATTGCAATTAGAAAATTAATGACTTATAAAAGGCAACAAATGTGTACACATCTTACAATGATGAAATTCTTAAAACAGATACGGGAAAAGGAACTGTGGTAGCACTCACCATCAACATTCACATATACTACATGTACTTATAAGTTGTAACACGAGATCATACTTCCCAACAAACGTTATCAAACACACACAAAAACCCGTAAAACTACGTTGACAAGATATAACAACTGTGGAAATAGGCTTTGGCTTGATGAAGTTGTCTCCATATAGATGAAAGAACCTTTTCGAGTGTTATCAGAAGATCGATGGCTTCTGGTTTCCAAGTTCTCTCTCGAACTAGTATTTTGAGCCTTTTTCTGATTTTTCTTCTGATTCACAATGAGAAAATCCTTCCGAGCCTACACAATACATCAAATGTAGCATGGTATATCAATAGTATGTTAAAGTGAAAATCAGTTCAAATGAAGCATCTGCCTCGTTCGTCAAGAAAGTAATCTTCATTTTTCTAATGAATCTGTTTGATTTTCTCACCTCTACATGGAATACTGCATTGTTTGAAACCTTCCTCTGTGATGATTAGAAGAAAGAAAATATGCTCTTCTTTTTCTTCTTTTTCTCTTGGTTTGTTTCATGGACGGAAGATGGCATACCTACACCTTCCTCGACATCCACGTCTGATAATTCAGAATCAAACCCTTTTGATGAATGGTATTCGTTTACGTTAAGATATCTACTAAACACTGTTGGAATATTCGTAATATTATCACCCTGCAATGATTTAGGAGGAAATAAACAGATGAAATCAATGTGTTCAAAATAAAGAAATCAAATGTAAAGTAATAGGACAGTTCAGAAACAAATGGAGATGCTCATTGTATCATTGGAAAAAATTGGACATTATATCTTTACCTGTTCGGAGACGGCCTCAGCATCCGTATCACTACTTTCACGGTATACCTTTCTCAATGACTCCGATTGGGTGAATGTATTGTAGAAGGTATTTATATTTTGTTCATTGTTAACATAACCCTCGTGAACAAAAATAGAATTCAGGAATTCCTCTTCCTGAGTAGTTTCATATGAAAAATGCTCAATGTTAGATTCATTTCTAAAATAGGCATCCTAAAATGAGGAGTTTGGAAAAGACGTTTCGTCTTGCTGTAAGGTCGTTCCCATTCCAGAAAAAGTACTTCTCTGAAAATACACACAAGTATCAATTGTCAGCATTTTCACATGACAGAGTGCTAATATGTTCGTGAAGAATGTTTCAACTTACCGAAGGAATGCCTCCTGCTATTGACTGATTCTCATAGCCAGAAACCATGATTCTACTGCTCTCCCCTTCATCACCTCCAACTTCAGTTGTTCCCCCAGGTTTCTTCATCAAGCGACACAAAACGAAAGTCCTCTGCCAGATAGACCATAATCAGAAGTTATTTCATACAAGTCGCGGAAATGAAAAGCCAAAACGAATCAAGCTGGTGTGTTTTGGCTTACCATGACGTGATCATTGGAACTTACTATATAAATGATAAAACTTAAAATATCCATTGATATATATGTCAAAGGTTAGAACAGTGAAGAAAATTCAAGAAAGACTATTTCTAGTAAGTGTTAAAATTCTCCAAAAACGCGTACCAACCTGGCTTTCGTGAAAGGTAACAGCATGGTATTCATGAATAACAAAGTTGGACTTCTCACCACGTGGAACGCGGCCTTTGTAGTAAACGAGAGTCTTTTTTTTGGCAATGAGAGTGTTGGAGTCGGACCTCCTAATCTCACGATCTTTTCCGGTGGGTTTCCAGAAGCCACACTTGGTTGTCCTGTTAATCCTTTTACTGTTTGAATACTTGAAATCAACAGGACTGAAGAAAAACCATTCCGGGAGATCGAATGGTACAGCTGACTCCGCTAATAACACTGTTTCAAACAACAACAAAACAAACAACAGTAAAGAAATTATAAGAGAAAGATAAAGAACAAGTGATGGTTGCATGAAGATGCATGAAGTGTTAAAGGTTTAGATTATTACTTGGTACGTCCCAAGGTTCCACTTCACAGAGGTCGATGTCGGGGATGACGTGGACTTGTGGATCATCACCCAGCAACCTGTGTCTGAGGTAATAGTCGACAAGTTCTTCTTCTGTGGGTCTGAAACCAAATCCTATAACATCCATTGTAGTTGTAACAAAGATAGGAAGATGAGAAGCAAAGGTGGTGAATCAGCTATTAACAAAGCTCAGTGTTTGTTTTGTGTTGTGTTGTGCTGTGTTGTGTTGTGCTGTGTTGTGCCGTGGCAATGAATTTATAATGCAGAAAAGTCATTGACTGACTTTACTCCTTAGCTGACAAGTTACAAAAAGGAAAATGCATAGAAACTTATGATGTGCTGTTAAGTGTTACCTTATTGTGTGGAAGAATATATGATATCGTATGTAACAAATGAAAACCGAACATTCTAGAGGTTAAATATAATAACAATCAACAATATCTTAATAACCCCAAGACAAATATTATGTTTGGATTTCAGGAGACATTTAAATTTTCACCTCACTGTATTACTTGGCTCTTTAAGAACAATATATTTTTGCATGCTGATTTTCCATATATATATATATATATATATTTATATATTCGGTACATAATTTATATGGTAAAGAATATGAAGAAGTTAAGAACAAGAAACTTCTGCCCACATGTCACTTTCTAATAAATATTTTTTTTTAAATCTAAATACAAATTTTATACCCTTTGTGGTTAATATTAGAGTAGATTTGTGCTCGAAATTTCCATTAAACAATTTTAAAAGAGAAAAAAAAATAGACGTTATTAAAATTAACTTATATTACAATTAAAATTTTAATATATAAACTAATGTTAACTCTATGATTTGTGGTTTATTATTTGAGTCTCGATCCCGAAGATTCTTTCTTCCACCAATCATTTCAATTCATTGCTCTTCCAACAACAAAAAATAAACGGAAAATTGTTTAATTATATATGGCCACTTTTGCTTTTCTTTTGGTGGTTTATTGTTATGTTTCCCTTTACTAAGAACTTGGTCACAAAGTTTGATAACTTTTTCAAGATTTGAGTAGAGTGATGCAAACTTAGAACTTCTAAGTGATGTTCCCAGCACTACTGAACTCAATAGTTTGATGTCAGCTTACTCTAGTATTTTATTAGGCATGAAAAAATAAGAATATAAATAAAAACATAACTTTCAATTTCATATCTCTGAAGTTCAAACCCTTTTATTTTTGTCCCATGTAAATTTATCAAATTCTGATTTTATTTTCTTTTAAAAATAGTTATTTTTAACATTAACATTAGCTATTATCATCATAAGTTTAATATTGAAGATAAAACCAGCAATTGCCCATAGTGCGTGCTATGCACTCCTGCCTTCTTAAAATAGAAAGAAAATAAATGACAAATTCTATTGTTCTACACGCTTTTGCTTTATACACACCATTGGACTATGCAGGGTGGACTATATATCGATAATTTACTTTAAAATATAAAACATATATAATTAAAATATTAATATAATTAATTGTCAAAATAACTATTTTATTTTTGAGTTTCGTTAAAAACTCTATCATTACAATCACAGAAAAAAAATATGCAAAGAGCAAAGAGCAAAGAAAACATTACAGTCACTTTTAATTTTTCTCTAAAAATTTCAAATTTTCGTCTTTTTACTTTTATTACTATATATCATCTTTATATCTCCTTCTTATCAGTAAATATATAAAAACAAACAGCTGCAAAGTAAAATAACAAGATATTATGTAAAAAAAGACAATTATTAAAAAAGTTTTTACTAATATATAAAATAAGTGTAACACTAGTACAGGAGAAACAAATGGCCTCGGTTATTTTTGGTCATAGGCCCCGGTTTAGAAACCGAGGCATATACGAACGAGGTAAAAAGTCTTCTTTTTATGCCTCGGTTTACAACCGAGTTAGTATCTTGACTTATATTGTCTCAGTTTAAACCTGAACCGAGGCAGTAAAATATTTTTTTTATTTTTTTTATTTTTGCCACATCGTGGAGTACAGGGAAGCATTTTTTTTTCTGGACATTGTGGAGCACAGGAAAGCAGAAGTGGGAAGCCGCGATGGGATGCAGAAGTGTGTTCAATCCCTTCATCCCTTCATCCCTTCATCACCTGAAAACACCAGAAAACAGCCCAAGCTTTACCGAAAATCCCTTCATCCCTTCAATCCCTTCATCACCGAAAATCACCCAAGACCAACCCCTTCAATCCCTTCATCACCGAAAATCACCCAAGACCAACCAAGAGTTTAAGCAAAAAATAAAAGTTCAAGATCAAACAAAAAAACCTAACACCAAAAATACTTCCCCTCTCCAAAGCTTCAAACTTTTATCGATTCAGTGTCCAGCCAAACCCCAATACGCGACGGTGGTTGTCGGTGGTCGATGAGAAGAACAGGCGGCGGTGGTTGATGAGAAGAACAGGCGGCAATGGTGGACAATGAAGGCAAGGACCAGTGGCGACGGCGGCAGTGGTGGACTTGGTAGTGGTGACGGCGGGGAGGCAAGGACCAGTGACGACGCTGAAGAACAGGCGAGCGGTGGTGTGGCGTGGCGGTGGTGAACAGCGAGCAGAGAGGTTTTGCGGGAAGAGAGGTTTTGCGGGAAGGACGACGGGGGCGGTGGTGCGGTGGCAGGGGGAACTGAGACGAAGGGGCGGTGGTGCGGTGGCGTGGCGGCCGAAGCAAAAAGCAGTGGTGAAGAGGGAGCAGAGAGGTTTTGCGGGAAGGGGGGAAGGGAGGTTTTGCGGGAAGAAGAATAGTGAAACTGAAAAAGTTTTGAACTTTAACCCTAAAACGAGGCAAATATAGGCCTCGGTTAATTTCTAACCGGTGCCGTATACCTTTTTCAAAAGCGGATTTAAAAGAACCGGTGCAATATACTATTTTTCAAAAGCGGGTTTAAAAAAACCGGTGCAGTATACCCTTTTTAAAAACGGGTTTAAAAGAACCGAGGCATATAGTTTCTCCAAAATTACATTTCTGCCACCGCATTTTTATATGCCTCGGGTCTTCAAAAACCGAGACATAATACGCGATTTAAAAACTCTATTTTTTACTAGTGTAAGTAAAATATATACAGGTGGAAACACAAGCATGCGACACATGTATATCCACTCTTTTCTTATTATTATAATAAAATAACTAATGTGATTGTAATTATTATATAAAGAAATATGTACACCAAAAATCATGAGATAATTACATAAATTAATTTTTTTTATTAATTATGTTAAAAATTCAAATTTGATACTGTTTTCTGAAACTTCATAATGTAGAACTGGTAAGAAACTTCATATAGAATAACATAAAGATATTGCTGAAAAACATATCACCATCAAATAAAGAAGGTTTAATTCCTATTTTGGTCCCTCTTTTCGTAGGGTCTGTTCAAATTGGTCCTACTTTTTTTCAAAAGTTCACTAAGATCCCACTTTTCGCAAAAACGATGCACGTTATGCACGTTAGTCCTTTTTTAGGTTTAATACGTATTTTGGTCCCTCTTTTCGTAGGGTCTGTTCAAATTGGTCCTACTTTTTTTCAAAAGTTCACTAAGATCCCACTTTTCACAAAAACGGTGCAAGTTAGTCCTTTTTGGTTACGGCGTTAAAAAACTAACAGCACAGCTGCCCAACTGGAAGAAAACTGATGAGCTGTACATTTTTTGTTGACGTGGCACTCTACATGGCAATCACCCATCGCATCTTGCAATTGCAACCTTCAACTTCTGCCCCAACTCTCTTCCTCGCATATGCCCATGGGCGTTCATTCTCATCACCACCTTCTCCTTCTCCTCCTTCTCCTCCTTCTTGATACAGGCCGGCATTCAAATGAAAATGAGAAAACCCAAAATTACAAGAAAAATGACAGAGCAGAACATGATGGTAGATCACCCTAAACCCCCAAATACAATCATCAACAGGGCGCCAAAAGAATAGGGGCAGGGAACAATGACTTATGCAGCAAAGCAAAAGAATCACATCACCATTCACCAAGAGCTCTTCTTGGAGTAAAATTCAAGGTATCACTTCACAAACTTCCTAAGGCCGGTCTCCAAATCAGTGGTAGGCCTGTATCCAAGGTCCCTGTAGGCCAAACTAATATTAGCATGAGTGAACTTCACATCTCCATTTGTTGGCATGGGAAGCACCTTCTTCTTAGCTTTCACCTTGAGAAGCTTCTCCAAAATCGCAACAAGCTCACTCACAGGCACAGGGGAAGTATTCCCCAAATTAAAAATCCTCAATTGCGCAGGCCCTTTCTTCTTCCCGCCACTCCCAGTACTCTTCTTGGCCGTATCCAAAGCCCCCAAACACCCCTTCACAATATCGTCAATGTAGGTGAAATCCCTCGCCACAGTTCCACCATCGGGGGACTCAAATATGGTAATCTGCTTTCCCTTGAGAATATCCTTCGTGAAGAAGAAATACGCCATGTCGGGCCTACCCCATGGCCCATAAACCGTGAAGAACCGAAGTCCAGTTATGGAAAGCCCATATATGTGGTTATAGCTGTGAGCGATTTCCTCGCCAGCCTTCTTCGTTGCCGCGTAGAGACTCGCCGGTTGATCTGTACGGTCCTTCTCCGAGAAAGGAACCTTCGAATTGAGCCCGTAGACAGAGCTGGAGGAGGCCCAAACCACCGAGGGCTGCGGGTTCGCGTTTTTGCAGGCCTCTAAAAGGTTCACGAAGCCTGCGATGTTGCTATGAACGTAGGATCCAGGGTTCTGCATCGCGTAGCGGACCCCGGCCTGCGCGGCCAAGTGCATGACGTGCGTGAAGGGTACGACGTCGAAGAGCTTGCGGAGGAGCACGACGTCGTTGATGTCGCCATCGACGATGAATACGCCGGCGCGGTCGAGGAGGCGCTGTGGAAGAAGGAGGAAGAGAAGGAGGAGAAGGAGAAAGTGGTGATGAGAAGGAACGCCATGGGCATATGCGAGGAAGAGAGTTGGGACAGAGGTTGAAGGTTGCAATTGCAAGATGCGATGGGTGATTGCCATGTAGAGTGCCACGTCAACAAAAAATGTACAGCTCATCAGTTTTCTTCTAGCTGGGCAGTTGTGCCGTTAGTTTTTTAACGCCGTAACCAAAAAGGACTAACTTGCACCATTTTTGCGAAAAGTGGGATCTTAGTGAACTTTTGAAAAAAAGTAGGACCAATTTGAACAGACCCTACAAAAAGAGGGACCAAAATAGGAATTAAACCAATAAAGAAAGAGTAATATTTTGTTATTGCATCACTGTGAAACTTGCTCTCCAAGGTTTTTGGCTGCCCCTACTGAATTCATTGCCTTTTCCATTTACTTGTGACAAAAATATAGAATCTTTTGAGTCATTTTTTCCTATATGACTGTTTCTTAATAACCATCATAAGATCTAAGTTTCTGTTATGCCCTTAGGCTCATTTATAAATGGTAGTTTCTTATGGTTTATCCTTCTCAGTCATATGATGAGTAGATAAGATGTGTGTGCATTGCATGTTAAGAGAAAATACTAATCTGAATATGTAGATTTCTAAGCATTTCTTTTATCACAACTCAAATCTTGCTGCATAAAGTTGGGCAGGGCTCGTTAATATTGGTACCAGACAATCTGCATATAATTATTCCTTATGTAAAATACAGATAGGAAAGTATACTTAAAGGATTCTTATATGACATATGCATAGATTTTCCGAAAAATCTCCTTTTCATTAGGCAGCTTGCTGCAGAAAAGCAACCATCAACTAAGTATAAGTCAGATGAAAAAAACTCTCAACAATCCTTTGTTCAGTTATACAGGGGTGATAACTGCAGTCTTCATAAATTTAAAGTTCCTTCTTTCTCACTCTAGAAAAACTACCAAACTATATAATTCAACTCTGAAATTGCACACAATACATCGATAAACCAATACATTTTCCTATGTCAAGGACAACAGTCTGAGAGAAGATTCTTTGTCCACAAAATGAAGTAAACTACATACCTTATTGATTACATATCACAAATATAATCCTCATACATAACAACCAACAGCTATCTACATACATTGATAAGAGTAACTTATAGATGGATGATATCATATTTGATCACTTTTTTCTTTATGAAATAGACTGAGAACTAGAAGTTTCGGTATGATTAATCTCTAAAGCTGAATATGGATATGAGTCACAAGAAGATGATTCCATTCCACAAAAATTATCTAAAATCATACTCTTCTTTGTTTCTTGATTTGATGATGCATCATCAATAACATCTTCTGATAATTTAAATCTTTTTGATGAATGGTATTCCTCGTTATTAGAATATTCATTATAAATAGAAGAACTATCCATAATATTCGTATCCTGTAATGATATCAAATGAAAATATCAGATTAATTCAATTTTTAAAGTGCTTAAGATAAATATAAATAATATTAAAATTTACCTTCCGGATGGAATTATTGACAAAAGTATAGATATTATCTTCGTCAATATCTAAATTTTCGTCAGCTATAATTCGATTTAGAAACTCATCTTGCATAAAACAATTTTCATTTCTAAAACAGGCATTGTTTGATGGATAATCTGGAAAAGATGATGCTTCTTCTGTTGAAGACTGTGGTATTTGGGAGACGTATGTCTCTGACTGAGAGTTAGCCTGAAAGATTGGTTCCGCTCCTGTAACCTTACCTCCCTGAAAAAATGTGTAAAAAACAACTATCAGTAACCTTAGCTCCCTGAAAAAATGTGTAAAAAACAACTATCAGTTCTCAGCATGTTTCACATGACAGAGTGTAAATATGTCCATCACGGATGATTCAGCTTACAGATGGAATTTCTTTAGATGTTGCCTGATTTTCGTAGTCAGAAACATTGAGTTCACTGGGCTCCTCTTCACCACAGACTACTGGATCGGTTCCCCCTTCAGTGGTTTTCCCAGATTTCCTCATCAAGCGGCATAAAACAAAATACCTCTGCAAAATTTTGAGCACAATCAGCATTTATTTGATAGAGTTCACACAAAACAAAGAGTCAATAAAAATCAGGCTATGGTTATACAGAAGAAATTGACAGTCCTTGATGAAAACTGGTGATGAATTTTGAGCACGCTTAGATAGAAGATTTAATTAAACTCTTATAGGCAGGCATTTAAGAGAGCTCATCCATATGCAGGTTCCCACTGGAATAAACTAAAAATATCTTTTTTTGATATGCTTCCAAATAAAACTCACTTAACTAAGTTAAGCAGAAAGAAAGGTCATAAGTCAATTTTACAAGAAAAAATAAGCTCTACCAGGTCCCATTTGTCTCTAAGAAAGAACAAGTAACGAAAATTGGGCGATGATTAGAGTGAAACAAAAAACATGGGATTGAAGCAAAGAATCCAACAACAACAACAACCTTCTAAAGCCAGAACAATTACCTAAACCTAAAAAATTATACAATTTAGAGACATAATAATCTAGTAGAAAGATGATTTCCAAAGAGTGTCAAAATTTCATGAGAAGAAGAAAAACAAACCTTGCTTTCATGAAAGGTAACAGCGTGATATTCGTGAATAACCCAGATGGACTTGACACCACAGGAAACACTTCCTGTGTAGTATACAAGAGTCTTCTTTGTGGCAATCAGTGTGTTGTTGTTCCAGCTCCTAATATCACGGTCTTTTCCAGTGGCTTTCCAGAATCCTTTCTCGGTTTTCCTGTTAACCCTTTTACTGTTTGCATACTTGAAATCGACCGGACTAAAGAAAAACCAGTCTGGGTTACCAAATCGTATCGGTGATTTTGCAAGCATCCCTGTTCGAAACAATAAAAGGATCACACAACAATGACATAAAGATTAGTAGAAGAATAAAGATGACAAAAGGGATGTTCAGTACTTCGATTTTTAGATTACCTGGTACATCGGAAGGTTCCACTTGGCAGAGATCAATGACAGGGATAACGTCGACACGGGAATCATCAGCCAGCAACTTGTGCTTGAGGTAGAAATCGACGAGCTCTTGTTCCGTAGGACGGAAACCGACACCAACAATTTTACCCATTGATTTTGGTGAACACTGAAATCTGTGTTTGTAGGTTGAATGAGACATCGAAAAGAAAGAAAATACGAATGGAAGAGGAGATCGATCACACAGAGATGAAGGAGAATTTATGTTATGTTGTGGCTTTTTGGCTCCTCGTTTTTATATTGCAAACACATTGACTCCTTAGCTAACAAGTTATCATAGAAAAATACAAAAAATAAAAACAAAAACAAAGAAAAAAAGATGATTGGATATTGTTGGCATAGATCTCTTACGCTACCATGTGTAATAAAAATTAGGGTTGAATTTCTTTTTCCTCCCATTTTTAAACTATTTGAAACTATGGTACCCTTTATCGTTTTTAAGAAAATTATAATTTTCCGTCGAAAATTAACGTCGTTAACTTTAATCTTACGTGACTAACTGCCAGATCACTGTTCTATTTTTCTTTTTTGAAACGTGGCTATCTCTTGAGGGCCGTGAGAGTTCTCTCTCTTGTTCATCTCAAACCTATGTTATTTTAATCTCCATCACACCGTTTAATCCTTGTTTCCATACCTTGCACCATCTTCTACATTTGCAACCACAAAGAGGTCATTAGCACGCATACCTTACAAACTCATACCGATCCAATCAAAATAGAGAATAAAGGGAAGGAGAACCCATCGTCAGCAACGGAGGTGATGACCATCGAGTCGCCGTTGAGAGGAAGGGAAGCAAAGGTCATGCGTCTTTGGGGAGTTGCCGGCAGCATCTTCCACTAACGATTGAGGATGCGCCAAGCTGTTAGGGTTTGTGGTTCAGAGGTTGAGTCGCCGTGAAGGGCGGGATTTCCTCCGCTGGAGGCGTCGGTGGTGGCTGACCTTGCTAGTGACTGTGAGGATGCGTCACAGAGGAGAAGGGTGTCTCCCTCTCGCGCGCGAAGAGAAGCCAGGATAGGAGAGCTTTCGCGATGGCCGGCGATGACCCTGGCGACGTGCGGTGTTGCTGACGACGCCTTGGGCTGGGAGGAGGTGCACCACCGTGTTTGGTTCGGTGATGCTACAAGAGATGCACGAAACCTGTTCGATACAATGCCTGAGAGAAATGTTGTATGTTCAGATTGGGGGTAGTGATCAGTGGGGTAATATAACTACTAGGACTGAATTGATTAGGAAGATATTACTCGTGAAAGATGCATATGGCTTCACATTCCCTCTTCTTTTGAAGAGTGACGGTACCAAGTTTGGAAAGTCTGAAGATGGTGCTATTTGGTTGTCTCCAAAGTTTTTGGCTTATGAAGCGGTTTTGAATCAGTCATTGGTGGATCTTTCGGTCTCTTCTGGTTTGTTCGAGAGTTAGCCTGCGGCAAGGAGGTTGTTGAAGCAAGGGAGCTTTACTTAAATAATAACATAGTGGATAGTGAAGGTAAAAGGATTGAAGCTGCAGATATAGTGGATGGGAAAGTTATCCTGTTATCAGCTGGCAAAAAGAACAAGCTGCAGATATGCTGTTTATTTTCTGTGTGTTTCTTTTGCACTCTTAAGAAACATTTGATTTATTTGATACACGAAAGCTTATTCTCTATCTGTAGTTTTCTATTTGGAATTAGAGTTTTAGAGGAGCTAGTGATTCTGACTGTTCGGAGAAGGCGACGGTACTGTGGAGGTGCGATCCGGGCAAAGCTTTTTCGTAAAGCTTTTTCGTAAAGCTTTTTCGTAGCGCCGCGGAATGAGTTTCTTCCTCTTCCGCATGCAGGAGAAACCTTATTTTCCCTTCTCTGAAAAGGATGATTGAAATGAATAAGAGAGAGGCCTGAACAAATTGCCACGTTTCAATAAAAAAAAAAAAAAG